ACAAAAAGTGATAAGACGCCGCATTAACGCGACATCCTTGTGTATAGGGAAAAGGAAAGAGTACTTGATAATGTCTCCCTGGACGCGAAATCATTGTTTTCTCCTTTGTTCTCTCATTTCTGCCTTTATCATATATATGTTTGCTGTGCGGTCCGAATTATTTTGTCTCGAACAGAGTAAAGTTAATTCGGCACACGTATCTACACAGAGAGAATTTTCTCGTAGAATTTACTCTGAAGATCGTGGTAATCGTAAGACAATATATATGGTATTGGAAGAATTTTATAAGAATTTCTGTGATTAATATTTGTCACAATAAAAAATATTAATATCTATTATTATACAATAAGATAAGAAATATGTACATATTAATATTTTTTATTGCGTTTCAAATATTAACTTGAAACTCTTCTAAAATTCTATATTGTCCCTTAATTAATACGATTTTCAGAGTAAATTCTCTGTGGAAGTAGCGACGATTTTTAGGAGAGATCTCTTGTAGAATCAATTGAAATAATTATTACAATAATAAGAAATTAATTAAAAGGGAAAAAATGCCTTCGTGCGCAAACATTTTCGTGATGACATCGGTGAGTCAGAAACGTCGTCCTGTTCCCTTGAATTTACAACGTATACCTTCCGTCGACCGCGTAATGGATCTCTTAATCACGTCGTTTCATTTGGGCGATTAGACGATCACCGCCTACTACCTTGTTCGTATCTCGAAAAGAGTCTCCCGGGTCTGCCTAATTTATGAAAATGTATTCACCACGAATAAAATCGACCGAGTGGGCCGCGACAAATCGACTGGGATTGATTTTAAGTAACCAGTTGCTTCCCTCGTAATGAGGGATTTTCAGATCGACGACGATCGACGTGCCTAATTAGATTTAATTACAATCGTATTTATATTATATCGTTAAAATACGTTTCGATACGCGATTGTATATGAATCGCACCGGCGGTGAAAAAACAACATACATGTTGTGTGTGTGTGTGTGTGTATCGACGCATCTCGGAGATATTTTGAAATTACGCGCCCCAAGGTGTCTATATTTCTCTCTCACAATACAGATAAATCAGAGTTTATCTTCGAGAGTACCTCGGATATTCTGTGATACAGTGCTACCAGAAATTTATTCCGCTCATTTATCCGCAGCCTCTCTTCTAACGAGCGATACGAGTCTTAGACGGACCGTATTTCGTCTTCTATGTCATTCAACGGTTCCGTTCCCATTTTATGTTTTTAATCAAACCCTTTTTTAATTGCGTTTTATTTCATTTGAAACTATCTATACGGGGTGCGTAATGCGAGCGTTTTAAGAGCCCGGGGAAACATCCTGAAGAAGTCGCCGCGCTCGTAGCTTCGGCATGTCGAGCGGCTCCGTTAATTTCACTAATTAAGTTAGCGACTTGACCGCCCTGTCTGTTCCCTCTCGCTCTCTCGCGTCTCTTATGAGCGTTATTTATACTCTTTTTTGCGCATTAATTTCTGATCTTCTTATTTCTCGCCCGACTTCCTCGAGTTCGCCGCCGTTTCGCATCCGAGCGCAAACACGTTCTCTCTCAGTATTTGAAGAAATGTGTTACGCGTTTTTTTTTCTCTTAGATTCCAAATTTTTTCATGATTTTTAATTACCAAAATTATACAGAGAGTCGCGACAATCGCGAGAGGGCTCGATTCTAATTCGCGCATATTTTTCGCGACGAAGTTGTAATTGAATAAAAAGGATAACGATATTGTCGTCGTTGCAACGTAGTAAAGTCCGTAATTAATTATCGGAAATCGGCGTATCGTCCGCCTCTTCGTGCCTTGTGCGAATCCCCGCCGTGCAATCGCGTTCTTCCCTTCCAATCCCTTTTAACACACGACTTTACGACGCACTATACGCGCATTTTATTCAGTGTGGAATTCCAGAAGCCATAACCCACGGAGCCTCTCGATGGTGACGTACGAGCCTCGTACAATGGCAACGGGACGACGGGTAACAAAGTACGAATGTCTCGTTGCACGTTGTAAATCACACCGCGTTTACCAGACTTTATTCTCTTCTTCCCCGGCGTCAGTTTAATCCTGTTGCAGGTTAATCATGAGAAATCGCCGGGCCACCGCGAAACTGCCCTCTGCGTACAGGGTGTTTGCGAGATTCTATTGAAAATAAAAAGCAACGATTCGAGAGAAATATATGTCTTTGGATCTTTCAGAGAAATAAAAATCGCGATCAACTCTCTTAGGATTTTTTTTCAATTAAATCTTTTCTCCGCTTTCGAAGATTCGAGAATTAAATTTGAAACGTGACACCCTGTATATCGGCCCGAGTAAATTTTCGACGTGGGACATTTAATCTTCCCTTCGTTCGCGTTTATGGTTTTTAATGCCAGGATGACAAATATGTCGTATTTAATGATATTTATGCGAACGCGGATCACACATCAGCTTCCACTCACAGGACCCGGGGATTATCTTGTCCTCGAGAAATATCGTTTTCGCCGTTTGTCACCGAGCCGATCTGCCACACGACACGCAACGTGTCGCGGCGATTAAGTTACTCCTTAGGCCACCGAAAATTAAGAGGCGCGAAAATTAAGGACGCCTGTCGTATATCAAGCTCGCCTTTAAATAATCGCGCGTTGTGTCTCGTGAGAGAGAGAGAGAGAGAGAGATTTGCCTTTTTTTTACTTCCTTTGGCTACGGATAACACGATGATTAAATGACAGACACACACACACACACACACTCTCATTTAATTTTAACCCATTTAATTTTCCTCTGTCAAGGTACCAATTTCATACTGCCGCAGCAGTTTGTTGCTATTGGTGAAGTTCAATTGAACGAACAACAAAGACAGCAAAGCAGAAGAACACGCAACTAGTTGGGTCTAATTATTATTATTATATTAGTTAAATAATGGATTGTAAGAAAAAATAGATTATTATGAGAATATAAGAGCAAAAATCGTAATTTTAACCTTGAAATAATAAGAGAAAGAAATATGCTCTAATAAATTTTAACCCCGCGTGACTGATTTGTTGCTGCAGCATGCTGCGTATGAAAAGGCACCTTCAGTCGGGAAAATTAAAATAATCGAAAAAAATCTTTTCGATCTTGGAAATTCGAGAGGATGACGAGTATTTGATATGTCTATTTCAAGCGTCTATTCCTCTGGTTTTCGACCGCAGAACTGGTTACGGACAGCATCTCGAATAGTAAGTTATTCGCGCGTTATGTATACGACGTGGAGGCGAAACAGTAACACGAGAAACCGGATCTCCTACTTCGTACAGGGATCAGGATGCGGGTGTATGCGCCGACGCAGATATGTGTGCATGCGTGATAGTCCCAATGTCATCTCGCCGATTTCCGCGACGATAAAAGTGCGCTACCGCCGCGAAATTCCAATCGCCGTAAAAATGAAGTCTTATCTCGCGAATTAAAACAAGCCGAAACATTTATGTAATTCGATAATTGTCGATTTTCGCGGAGAGGGAGAGAAAAATTAACGAATCGAATCGAAGCACTCGGATGGGATTTGCATTATGCAAACTTCTGGAAACTTGTTCCGTTGTTTTACCGTTACATCACGGTCAATCCTTCGTTGATCGCTCCCCAAACACGCAAGCACAACACATATACACATACAGAATACGTAGGTATTAATTTTTACTTATTGGCTTCGTGAAATTATGGACGACGATGCGGATTATTTAAGATGCGCATTTTAATTTGTTAACCGAAGACCGCTGAAAGAATCGAGATATATATGTTCGTTGATATTGTATATTCAACTAGCCGTACCGTAATAATTTTCACGCTTAAGTGGTATACGGATGACTGGCTTATTAATTTGACTTCGAAATCGCATATCTTATTTTGCTGGAAATATATTTGATAATTAGAGAGAATCCGACGTTTAGGACACAAACAAGATGAGTTGATGGTGAAGCACGAGAGAGAGGGAAACCCTAATCAAGAGACAGTTAATATAATACACGTATATACGACTGCCTAATAGAGAATGATGTAACTAACGGCCGTGTGTCTTCTTTAACTCTTAACGTTTCGAGGATATGCTCCGACATGGACCATAAGTTCTACGACTTTATGCAGAAACGTCCAAAGAATTCTCTTTCGATGTATTTAAACTTTTTTTTTAAATTTTCTATTACTGTTTTTCCGTCACGCGCACGAATGTCAATAATCGTGCAATTTTACACCGTTTTATCCTTTTGCGGCAATTTTCGCCGCTCGTGGTATGGGCGTTCGCAGGATTTTCTCCAGGAAAGGGCGTAATAAAATTTTGTTTTTTATTGTTCCTTCTTAATTTTTAAAAATTTAATTTGTTTATTTTGTTATTTTTACTTTTAAATATTAAATATACAAATAAATTCATTTATTCAAAAGGAGAGCCTAAAAAAAAGTTTATATATATTTATATTAAATAAGGGAGTATGCTCATGGAAAAAAATTAGCTACTGTAGCTAAATTTTGGCTGTCCCTATATATTACACCTGAAATTTAGTTATCATACCTAAATTTTAGCTATAGAATTCTTCATTTAACTATAGCTATAAAAATATTAGTTATCATAGCAAAATTTAGACATGATAATTTTTCAGGCTGTAATATGGGGACAGCTAAATGTTTAATTTTCTTACTAATTCCAAGAGGGTGGGCATCTAACCCTTCTTGTCTCCTCTGCGGATGCCCATGGTACTCTCAAAATTTCTTGGAGTAAAAACTGAACAATCTCATTCCAAAAGAGTGAGCACTCTTTTGAAGTGCTGTACGCACTTGTACTTCTTGTCATTCCTTCTCTCTAAATTTCTTGGAGTGAAAACTGAACAATCTCATTACAAAAGATTGGAATTTTACTCCAAAAGAGTGAGCACTCTTAGAGAGAAGGAATGACAAGAAGTACAAGTGCGTACAGCACTCTCAATGCATATTACGTATTAACGCGTCGTATAATAAAGAGCGGTGACAGGACGATCCTTCTTACCCACTACCACCACGTGGCCGAAGACCTGGTCGTTGGACACGTGGGAACAGTTCCAGCGGTGATGTCGGAACTGGTGCCGGCACTCGCGCAGACCCATGGCGGCGCCCTCGCCCACCGCCGGCATGGCGTGCGGCGCTTTTCTGCACTGCTCGCGCTGGCTTTTCGCCAAGCCGGGAATACGACTGCAAACGGCCGCGCCGACCACCATTGCCCCGACCACCCTGAAACAGAGAGAGGTCCGGTAACAATATATATATGCGACAGGATGCGAAGCTATGCGGTGGTTCGCGACGGAACTCGTTGGATTTATTCGCTTGAGGAACTCGTTTTTTCGCTCGAAAATTATTAACGTGAATTAATGGAAAGGTACCATTTCATATGTGCAGCATACTGCCGCAACAGTTGTCATTATATTGGTGAAGTTCAATTGAACGAATTATTATATTAGTTAAATAATAGATTTTAAGAATTAATAAAATAGATTATTATGAGAATATATAAGCAAAACTCGTAATTTTAATCTGGAAATAAGAGAACAAAGAAATATGGTCTAATAAATTTTGATCACGACTGATTTACTGTTGCAGGATGCTGCGTATGAAAAGGCATCTTAAGAATGAATGAAAAAAAAATTGGTGACATTCACACATGATATAGCAATTAAAGTGTTAAATAATTATATTAAAAAAAAACTTTGCGGCTATTTATCTTCATCGTTCTTATTTCGACATTTTGACGAGCAAGCTGCGTGAACGGAGCGATTAACAGGTGCTAAAACCGAAGCGACGACAAGCTGAAACTTGATATCCTCAGCCTCCTGCTGGTCCGTTGCGTAATTTATATCCCACAACGCGAAGCACATACACTCTCCCAAGTATTCTTACAAGGCGCTTATTCATATTTAAATTCTCCTCTTTCACGAGAAGTAGAATGGAAAATACACGAGTGCTTTAGATCACTTTAAAAGTGACTCATAAAATACCTTGTGTGTGTTGTCCATCCGTCATCCCGCGAGATAAGCTATAAATACGCCTTTCGTCGAACCACTTACGCGATTCTGTTATTCTTTCGCGTGATCATCAATGATGTATTAAAGGGTATACTTGAGGGTGAGTTATCGAATTTCAGGACCGGATAAGGTAAAGGGGGAGATTTCAGGTAGACCACGGGGTGGGAAGAGAAAGAGAAGGAGAGATCGGAGGATGCAAGATAGGCAGGTTGAATTTCTGAGAAGCATGAAATTGCGACGATTACGTCGCCGTCCCCGGGGCGAGAATTATTTGCATTGGAATGCATCGCGCCGCGCCGGTGGCCGCCGAATCTCCTTGCGGTGGGACACAATCTACAGGGTGTCCGGACGTGGACGAACGTGAGAAAAGAAGAAGGGGGAGTAGGGACGGGCATGCCGCCGCGAAAACGAGCCGGCCACGAAATTCGCCCGGAGGGATCTTCGGGCTTCTTCCCTTCGTCTCGCGAGGCATAAACGAGGAAGACGTTGACGCGAGGGGCCCATCGTCGTCCCTTCAAAGAAGCTCTCTCGCAAGAGCGCATTCGTGACTCCCTTCTTTAACGGAAAGATGCACTCGCCCGCAAGGGGCCTGTCGAGGTGAACAATAAAAAGAAATTAATGAAAAGAGAGAATGACGTTCCACGTCATTTCTCATAATAATGCGAGAGACGGTGAGAACATCTCTTCCCCCGTATATTTAACAGGGTGTATACTCCCTGGAAAAGCCTGGAAAACCTGGAATCCGCAGGGAATTTTGTTCTACCTTGAAAAATCCTATATGCGGAATTGTCATGGAATTTTGATTTGAACTCAGGGAACTTTTAAAAAAATTGCACCTTCGGTTTTAAAATATACTTTATTTTAATATTAATTTATATATTAATAAAAAAATACTTTATTTATGTTAAAAAATAACAAATAAACTTATTTCAAAATTGTATTCTAAATATTATTTAAAATACTTAAATTTTACCTATGGGATTTTGAACAAAAGTACCTGGAAAATCATGGAATTCTCAGGGGATTTGTTTCTAAGATTTGAGTATACACCCTGTTTAATTCCAGTTGCGCTCTGACAAAGGTTCATGTCAGATGGACCAAGAAGAAACTAGTAAATTCGCAGAAAAATCTGGTGTCGATCGCGCGATAACGTTAAACGTTAGCCTCTTCTGCTTAATTACGCGCTCGGGATACACATCATTCGTTAGTCTTCATTAGAAACAAACTGCAACGTGCCTCTGGCGTATGACGGACGGGTAGGCGATAGCGGTTACTCATTTGTCTTCATTGCTCGTTGCACTTTATCACGATTATGTCCGCGCAACATTCTCACCTTTCGGCGAAGAAGACGGTACAGCGAGTATTATGAATATTTTTTACGCGTTCTATATATTTCAACTTTTATACTTTTTAATCGGATTATACGATGTTTATGCCCTGATTATATGTGTTGAAAAAAATATTTTTTGTCCAAAGAAAAAGCTTATACGCGTGTCTCGTCTTTAGCATGCCGCGGCCGGATAAAAGGGAACAACGGGCACTCTCGTATATACATATACATATGTATACGCTCAGCAGCAATCTGCACGTAGCCATTAGCGCGTAATGTATAACATCACGCCCGTCTCGTACGGAGGCTAATGGTGTGCTATTTGCGACAGGGTATCGCGGCACCGTGTTCGCCACCGACTGTCAAAGTCGCTGTCAAGATTATTTCAATTGTGTATTATTCACCATCATCATTTTTATCGAACATTGTCATTATACACAATGAGATAGAATTATATATATATATTTTTTATTGAAAAAAAATATATATTTATACAGTAAATGTTTTTATAGGAAGTTTATATGGCATATAAAAAATATAGGGTCACGACAACGCCTTTATTGCTTCGATAGTTGAATCATTTCACCGTCGATTTTCAGTGATATATAATATATACATATATACCGACTTGTCTTTATCATAACTAAGATATGACTTGTTATCGTGATCAAGCACCGTTCTTGGCTATTTGGAATTGCTCAATTTGCTCTAATGACTACTTGGATCGAAGAGAGTCGGGGAGGAAAAGCGACAGTGAATAGAATTCCAGAAAAATAGAAAATCGAAGGGAAATAATCACGCTATACGCGATATTCTCTTTGATTTCGTCGATATAAGCTACTGTTAGAATGTCTTCATCTCACGTATATTTCTTTTTTCCACGAGAGATTGTACCAATTTACGCAGCGCTCTATCAAGTATTATTAGTTTCGCTTTAAGGTACTTCAGACTAATTTTTTCGAGCATAAAGTATCGAATACCTTCGCGTTCGCGCTTACTCGCGAAGTATAATCGGCAGTTATGAGGCCTTTGCGAGAGCCTAGCTTCGATTAAGTTCTCTTAAGATCTTCCTCGATCGTGTATTTCGGTCGATCTTTACTCCTGCACGTTTCAATTTCTCACCGGAAATTTTCGACGAGATGAATCACGATCCACCGATTCACTCACCGTCGATTTCGTTTCTTTTTTAAAGAAATTTCGCGTGCGGTTAGTCGCGAAAAGATATGAATCATCTTTGATGATATTAACGTATGAGGAAATTTAGCATCATCTATTAAAATATTTTTCTTCGAATCAATATTATTAAAAACTTTTCGAAAAACTGCACGAAATGATAGAAGAATCGAATGTGCTCGCGATCGATTCTATTAGGGTGTCTAGCGGTTAAGGAAACCTGGAAAACCGGGTATTGTCAGAGAATTTTATAAATCTGGAATTGTCAGGGAAAAATCAGGAAATTTTACTATTTATCTGGATTTTTTCACATTCTACATTTATTTCAATAATCGAAATTTTTTATTTAATAAATATAAACTTTTCCTCGACTGCCAGCTAATTTTCTGTGTTGTTAAAAATCGATTCATCTATAGCGTGTTTGTTAATTTATATTTTCATCATGTTATTTTATTTCAATGTGTTTGATAGAAACAAAACTAAAAAATTGGATATAATATAAATAAAAAGGTGATTATTAAAATAGTTTATAGTGACATGTTTGTTTCGATTATCGTACATAATGTAGATTGTACAATTGATTTAAATTTTTGTTTTTTTAACTTCCGAATCTTTTCATTGTTGACAAAAATATCTCAAGGATTTCATGATTCAACATTTAATCGATTTATTATATAGATATATGCAAATTATATAAAAAATAATACTAAAAAGTCAGGGAAAAAATTAATTTCTAGTCTTGGAAAATCTGAAAAAGTCAGGGAATTTTTTTCATTGAGTCTGCTGGACACTCTGTCAATGCAAGTTTTGATTCCGACCGTGAATTTCTTTTTCGGAGTACTTTAACTTGACGTAAATCCCTGGAATGATCTGTGGCGCTACGAGTATTATTTATTTGTTAATGCCGGTTGCGTTGCACGGTAGATTACGAGGATTGACATAGACGTGTAGTGGAGATGAGAAAGTATCGGTAGGCTCGCTTTGCTTCGACGATATCTCTTATAGCGATCGCGGCATATGACACCGCGGGGGTTCCACCTTTAGTTGGGGAAACCTCGACTAATATAATACGCGTGTCGCTCTGCTTGCTCGAATAACTGTAAATCTTCCTAATGCCCCGTGCGATGATATCGAGGAGATATCATCTGCAAAATGCTATTTATCCGCCAAGCGGATGTATGAAAGCGGAAATGGGCGAGATCAGATCTTGCGAAAAATTGCTCGACTCGAGGGAATTTAATCAAATGTAAAAAAAAATTATAAATTTGCTAAAGAAAAAAGATTTTTAGATATATTAAATAAAAGAGAATATGTTCATGGAAAAAATTTAATTATACTATATAGTTGAGTTTCAGCTGCGTCTCTATATTACACATGAAATTTAATTATCATTCCTAAATTTTAAAATTTAGATGTGATAATTACCATAAATTTCAGGCTGTAATATAGGGACGGATAAAATTTAGCTATAGTGACTACTTTTTTTCTGTTTTTTTTTTTTATATTATTTATTACATTTTTTAATAATATTTCGTAGCGATGCAAAAATATACGGGGTACAAAACTTTTTAAATATCTATGGAAAATAATTATTTTGAGATAAATCACCGCAAAGTTTTCATGCTTCACTCATACACTTGTAGGGATATATCGCGAAGGCGTGGATAAATACCATCTAGGTGATCAATTGCGTTTACCGAAGGGTATAT